GTAAAAAATTGCCATTTTTGAATTTGGTGTGTATGTGACTTCCGGGGTTCTTGGAGCCGGCCTCAAGCGGACCCTCGAAGAACTGCAGGATTAAGCTCTTCCGCATTGGCTTCGTTTTTCAACACCGGAGGGTTGCCGCTTGTTGCTGCATGAGTAATATATACCTCAATGGTCCGCACTATAGGTTATAAGTGCATGTGGAGTTCCTTCCTGTTATATTTTTTTATATATAAAAAAAGCTTATTTTTTAAATAAGCTTTTTTTAAAGCTTATTTAAAAAAAAAAATTGTAACACATTCAAAAGAAAGTTACAATATTTGGCCTATCGTGTTGCTTGTTTGGCAGCAGTATGATGTGCAGCCTATCAGTCCTCCCGTCTGGTATCAGTGCTCGCCTACATTACCCAGCATTCCGCGTGACGTCAGCGAGCGCGTGTTGTCGTTTGGCAGTTACGTAATGTAGTTTCAAAGGTTGTGTACGTTTGTCGGTTCTCTCCGGTTCTCCGCGTCCGAGAACACGATGTGACAGAAACATTTGGACAGTTTGCTGGTTTACAATCTTCAGCCCGAGAGAAAGAAGAAAACTGAAAAGGTAAGAGTCACTGCTGCCGGACTTTCTTTATTCAAGAGCTCTTTGTTCAAAACGAGAAGGCTAAATCTTAACCGACGAGCTAAAGCTTCAATCCGGGTATCACAGTGAAGTATCATCTGGAAATACAAACATAACACAGCTGAAGGGAATAATGAAATATGAGTAAGATAATGCTCACCTGTATTCAACTCCTGGAAGTAAAAAAAAATAAAAAAATGACGATATTAATATTATTTAGTGATAATTTATCGTAAATTATTACTTACTTATATTATCCTGATATAGATAATAACATTTTAATGATACATTCTGTGTAATAAAGCTTTTTAATTGACGTTTTTATTTCCCCAATGTTTAAATATAATAAGACCGAGGCTATACTGACTTTAATGGTATTACTATGAATGTTATGGATTTTATATTAGACAAAAAATTCAAAAAGCACGCACAACCTAACAAAACTGAAGTTCTGGGTGCTGAACAGAAAAAAGTGCAAAAGTATTAAGACTAGTCCGCTCACCAGAAGCTGCTCCAGTAAGTTACATTTAATGGGAAAACTACCTCCAGTAAGGTTTCGGGCCCTCGCCCCTTCATCAGACATGAACCATGGATTTTTTCATGGGCGGTTCTAGGCAGGGGCCAACAGGGGCCAACAGGGGCCAGTGCCCCCTGTAAAACTGAGCTCGGTCCCCCTCTTTTCCCACCCCTCCAAAAGGAAGAGCCCCCCCTAATAACACATACACAGTATTTGACTCACAATCTAGTATTTCATTCTGTTACTGAAACAAATAGAAATCATGGTATTTCATGTTGTGTTATTTAATGATGTGCGTTATTATTTGGCATAATTTATATTTAAAAACGATCATCTTTGTCCATTTTTCACCTGGGTTTAATGTTCCTCTCTGACAAAACAACTGGCCCCAGTTTGGCCCCCTCAGGAAAAGTGGTCTAGAGCCGCCACTGGATTTTGTATTCTTTATTAAATAAGTTATTAAGAAGTGTGAGAATAGAGATCTCAGGTGTTTCATCTGAAATGCACACACCTATCTCAAACTCATTTGCCCATGTGTTAGGGTCATAATGTGTCTGATAACAGCTGATAACCAGGCTGATTGCAGTTTGTCCAATGACTTTTCTCTTTCCCCTCTCTCTCCCTTCCTCCAGTCCATCGTCATGACTTCTTGACGCCCGTCTCTTCATTCATTATGAGCGGCGCTTCGCTGGCCGTCGTGGTCGTCGTGGTCTTCTTCTTGGCTCTCTACCTCCTCCAGCGTTATGGAGATCTGCGGAAGCAGCAGCGGATGGTCCTGTTGGGGACGCTGCTGTCCTGGTACCTCTGCTTCCTCATCGTCTTCATTCTGCCACTCGACGTCAGCACGGTGCGAAAACCACAGCGGCTCTTTTAAAATCAGTGTTAATCGTGACAGTGTAACACCAAGTCTGTTAAACTTCAGAGATATACATCTGTCCATTTAGGAAGCACATGTGATTGTGAATCATTTCACCTGCTTTGGTGCAACTGGAAGTGACAACAGGCGCAACGGAGAGGCAAAAACAAGACATCACAAAAAAAAAAAAAGGGAATGGTTTGCATGTGGTGGCCGCAGACAGTTGCTCTCTCGTTATCTTTCCTGACCGATTCTTCTCTATTGTGTTCTGCTAGTGTCCCTGTCAGTACTGCTAGCCTGAGGCTGTAGCTACAGCCCAATCAGGTTGCACAGGTAGTCCCGCTCCTCCAGAATGGCACCTCCAAAGGTATAGTCTCAAGAGCTTAGAGGAGATACAAGGAGACCTGCTGTTACACAAGGAGAGCCAGACAGGGCCCAAAAATGCATCAAGCCAACAGCAGGACCAGTATCAGCTCCTTGGGTGGCATTGGGGGGGGGGCTAATGTTCTCTACTGGGACTTGTGCACACAGCCCAACACCTTTCAGCTTGATTGGAATTCAATAGAAACCACCAGAATGGCAGGTCTGCCATAGGTACTCTGTTCTCTTTACAGATGAGATGACACTGAACACATATGACATGAATGGTATGCTGTCTGTAACATCATCCAGCATAACCGGTTTGGTGGTGGGTTAGTGCTGGTCTGGGGAGGCAGATTCTTGAAGGGTTACAAAGATGTCCATGGACCCTGACTGCTATTAGAAACCAGGATGAAATCCTCAGAGTGATAGTCAGACCTTAAGCTGGTGCGGCGGGCTCTGGGTTCTTCCTGGTGCGGGACAGTGCCCGGCCTCATGTAGTCAGAGTGTGTTGGTAGTTTATGGATGACGGAGGCATTGATGGGCTATGGACTGGCCCTCTCATTCCCCAGACATAAATCCAGTTTAGTACCTGTGTCATGTTATGTATCTGTCCTCACTGTGCGGATGATTTTGTTTCCATTGACTACTGTTACTTCATTTTGTTCTCTACAAATTATAAAATGTACACCAGTGAAGATTCTCTTTATTTTTCTCCCACCTGGCTTTGTTAGTTAGAAGTCTTTTCTTAGGAGAAAAAAACAGGATCACCAGGCTGTGCGTTGTGTTTGTTTTTTAGAACAGTCTGTGTCTGAATGAGGCTCAGCTGTGTGTTTTGTTGACACCGCTGTGGCCTCAGGTGTTTAACCTGCACCATTGTAATGTGATGAATAGGCGTGATCATGTGTTTCATGGAGTGTTTGCTTTACTGTTTGAAACTCTGCTCCTCTTGCAGACCATCTACAAGCAGTGTCTGATTGACAACGCACACCAACCCCTCACTCCTGTGACCCGAGCAAGACGCTCCAATCAGACGGATGAAAGCTTCTCTGTTTATTCAACGCTCAGGTAAATATGATGGTGGCACTGAGGGCCACACCCTGCTCATTTTAAGAGGATTTATTCCTTCAGATTGGTTGTCAAGGCCATCCAACATGATACAGTAAGTTGTGAAAAAGAAAATCATGATTAGATATTTCCACTTTTAAAACAAAGCAGTGTTGATCTCTTACTAAAGTGTGCATTGCCTTAAATCACAGAAATCTTATATAGGCATTTTACTTTCAGCTGGGGATGTTAATGATTAATCATGAATCGATTAATCACCCTTAAGAATTACACCAATTAAAAAATATATTATTAGACAATCTGTTTTGTTTACAATTTTAGTGATGGTCACATGTAATACCATTCTGTACCAAAAGAGGGCGACCTTTACCTTTACAACTCAGAAAAACTACTGTTATTACAACTCAAGGAAGAAGCAGTACTGAGAAAAAGTGAGGCAAAAATGAAGCTGTCAGCAGAGAGAGTGTTTTCTGTTTATTCATGGTAATCTAATTATGAATGATTCATCTATTTTTGATTGTTAAGGTGTTCAACTATCAGTTAAGAAAAAATTACTGAAATTTGCAACCTTAAAATGTTTAATGTTTTTGGCTCCCAACATCATCATATGATGTCTCATTAGAGGCTTTTTTTATACAGAGAGTTTTTGAGAGATTGTTGGAGGCTGATTGTGTGTTTAATATGTTTTATTATGTCTCTTCATTAGACTACAAGTAACAGGTGATGAAGTATTTTCACAAGTTATTTTGAAACTGAACACTAGGGGGAGCTGTGCATAAAGCTCCTGGTAGTTCCATTCAGATGTAAATAGAAGCAAAAAAAAAGTCATGGACCAGAAGATGCATTTAGAGCTAGATCGCGCTTCACTACTTCATGACTTATTGAGATTAATAATAATTGATTTACATGGCACCTTTACAACATTGTTTCATATGTTAAATGCAAAGTAGATGCCATGCATAAAAGTTTCCAGCCTTGGCTAATTTGCATCCCCTTTCCCCTTTCCCAGAGTGCTTTAACAGACAAAAGCAGAGGCAGGAACTCGGGGGGATTAATAAAAAACAACCTCGACAATAGTGTAGAACTGATCTGCAAACAAAAGGGCACAAAGAAAAAGAATGAAAGTGAGCAGGTCTCGAAAGGCAGTTAAATTAGGATAGTTGAAATCAGTCTCCTAAATTATTAGTTCAAGTTCTTCGATATTCATGTTTAAGATTTAGGCCTCCACCTTGACACAATCATTTTGAATTATTCCATTTGTGGTACCCAACAAAATAGAAAATAAAACTTAAAAAGTTAAGCAGACACAACAACCACTTTAAAATGGCTTAAATTGATACCAGTTTGTATTGAAGAGAGGCTATGTTTAACATTTGTATCTCTGGCAAACCCAAGTGTTAGCGGCTTCAAAGCCGTGCACATGACTGAGGTTCAAACTGAGCTTCATGTATTTTTATATTTAAACCTATGTGTGTGTTTGTGTCGCAGGACACCACAGGCCTGTGAGGAGCCATGGAGCTACATCCCAGACGGCATCCTACCGGTGTTCTGGAGAGTTGTATACTGGACCTCTCAGTTCCTCACTTGGTAAAATCTTAACCACATCCTTCTCCTGCTGTGTGCTTACAGACAGGTCTGTGTTTTCTCCTTATATTGATCTCTCGTCTCTCTGTGTGTGTGTACAGGCTGCTGTTGCCCTTCATGCAGTCATACGCACGGTCAGGAGCTTTTTCAAGAGTTGGAAAAATGAAAACAGCTCTCTTTGAAAATGCTCTCTATTATGGCACCTACCTCCTTATCTTCATCTCCCTGCTCATATACCTGGCCACTCACCCAAAGTGGCATCTGACCTGGTGAGCCCAACCTGCCTGGATTCACTAAATATCCCATCACTAAGCTAAAGAAATGAATTGTGTGTGTGTTTGAAGCTGGAGATGTGTCTACACATTTGTTTATAACACGTCAAACCTGTGCAGGTCGCAGCTCCACACCATCGGAATTACTGCTGCCAACACCTGGGGTCTCTTCCTGCTGGTGCTGTTGCTAGGCTACGGCCTGGTCGAGATCCCGCGTTCTTATTGGCTCTCATCCTCCCATGGTTACCTGTTGGATAAGGCCTACTTCAAGGCTGCAAAGATGGCTACTGAGAAGGCCGAGGCAGAGGAGAACCTGGCAGATGTTATGGAGGTGAGATTTTTGTAAGAAAATAGGAGCGGGTACAACATTTAAAATATTGTTTTATTTTGAAAGTTTCTTGTTTAAATATATTATGTTGAATTAAGTAAGTGAATCACAACTTCTCTTTAGTTTTTGATTCACCTGTTTTTTTAATTATTTAACAAGAACCAAACTATTTTCTGTAATCAGGAGGTGGCAGGTTGCCATGAATCTGTGAGGTACAACAACAGTCTCAGGAAGTGTGTGGACACCATATTGACAAAGGTGAGCGAGTTTTACATTTAAACATTCTGATTGATTATTTTTTCTTTTGCTCTGTTATTCTGTGCATCTTCATATGACTGATGTGTTTTCAGTGTCCCAGTGATTACCAAGAAGAGATGAGAGGGAGAGATGTGGAAAGCTCTAGTGGTGAACAGAATGCCATTCCCACCAAAATCCGCCTCATTAAGCTTCATAAAAAGGTAATTATTATTTATATCGCTGCACTGTCATTTGAAAGGAGACATTGCATGAATATGGTTTGTTTCTGTGTGTATTAATCATTTGCCCTTTGACCTGTCTGTGTGTGTTCCAGGTAATCTCTGCAGTGCAGAGGTACAGGCAGGCTCAGGTCCAGTGGCCCATCTTGTTGGATCAGGCCTTCCATCTCGAAGACGTGGCTAAAAGCCAGCTCAGCCCTGTCCGACACTTCACTCACAGCTTTCCCTCAGAACAACACCACGGCTGGATCCACAGGTTCATCTTCACTCCTGCAGTGGGTGAGTGCCTGTCTGTAACAAAGACTCAACCTGACAGATGGAAAGTAAAATGCATTCACGTCACAACACTTATAAGTACAAATGGAGGTACTTCTTATTTATGAGCTTTGTTTTAGTCAACCACATTTCAGCAAAAAACTTTCTTTCATTTTCCACCACTGGTTGGATTTGGTTTTTACCAGCATTGCTTCCTTGGGGTCTTGAATGCTGTCTCTTTTTAAATCCCTCAGTTCTAACCAGGCACGGCACCAGGATTATTTTCTCCCGGTGCTAAGGGGGTGGGGGGTAGGGCTTGACTAATATGTTGGGGTGCTATTTTTACAATTTATATAAAAAGTAAACAAAAATACCAAAATACGTGAGGGGGCTTAACCGGGGCACTTGAATTTCCCCACTGTGGATAAATAAAGGATTATCGGTCGATTTTGTGGGGTTGGGGTCACTGCCCCCAAAAAGCTGCTTAATGTGTCATAATCCATTATTCTCTGTCAAAGTTTGACATCATAGTGATGTTAAAAGGCTGCTCCAGAGGTGTTCCGTCCAATCAAAAGCATTGATATTTGGGAAACTTTGTATAATTGAACTCTTTCTGCAGAGAAATATAAGCGTCAATTCAAACTAAATATGTATTTCAGAAGAGCATAGAATTGAATTTGATAATTTGAATGGAGGTTAAGTGTCTAATTCTGCTCTTTTATGAATCTATTCCCACAAAATATGTCATGTGTTAACCTGTTAACATAACTGAAATCTACCTTGATTGTTGTCCAACATTTGAACTGATGCATGTGTGTTTTTTTTGTCCTGTTCAGAGTGGTACTGGGAGTGTGTGTTCAGACAGGGTTTCTACAAACTGCTGGCAGTCGTCCTGTGTCTCCTCTCGGCAGCAGTAGTCTGGTCCGAGTGCACCTTCTTCAACACAAACCCCGTCCTTTCCCTCTTCGCTGTCTTTGTTCAGATGGCTGAAAAGCAACACAACTACATCTGTATCGAGGTAGGCCTGTGCCACGCGAACAAATAAAGATCCGACTTTGGACTGAACAAGCTAACCAGCTTTCTCTTGTTTCTTTTCTCTCTCAGATGGTGTGCTTTGTCAGCATCCTCTTCCTGTGTTTCTGTGTCTTTTCCACAGTTTTCAGGATCCGAGTGTTTCACTACTATCACCTGGTGCCTCATCACCAGACTGATGCTTACAGCCTGCAGTTTAGTGGCATGTATGTTACTCAGGCGTTATATGGTTTATTATACATGACATTATGGGTTTAAGAGAGACAGTGTTTTGAATATATCTGTGCTTGATTTTATGATTTTTTTTTTCCCCCTTCAGGTTGTTCTGTCGTCTCACTCCTCCTTTGTGCCTCAACTTTCTGGGCCTGATTCACATGGACTCTGCCATCTCACACCAAGACAGAATACAGACATCTTACACCTCTGTGGGTCCCACACAAACATGCTCACACGCCGTCACTCAAACCCACAAAGATATATTTATACATACTGCACAGACCAAACCAAACCATGTTCCTCTGTCTCTCCATCTTTCAGATCATGGGCTCCATGCGTTTGCTATCTTTCATATCGGATGGGTTCTACATTTATTATCCCATGCTGATACTGCTGCTCTGCTTCGCCACTTTTTACAGGTAAGACAATAACCAAAATCTATGTCTTTCTTTTATCAGTTCAATGTAAACCTGCTGTAAAAGTACAGTCTGGTATACAATATTTGTGGAGATGATGAAGTGGCCATATCGGTTTATTGAAGATACTTTGGTGTCAATGTTAGTGCAGCCGAAAGCAACAAAAGTGCAGATATCTTGTGATGACTCGGATATTTAATTTAGAAATAGTATCCATTTATCTTGTTCACATAAGAGAGCAAAGACAGGTGGAGACTAGACGACCGACAGATCTTTAATCTGTAAAAATCCTGCTGAAGTGAACTTTTAGTGTACCGGTGGATAAAGTTAATCACCTGATTGTTAAGTTGGGCTGTGATGTCCCTCAAGGCTCTATGCTTGGTCCTGTATTTTTTTTTTGTTGTACAAACTGCCTCTTGATATTAATATATTGATATTCAAATTCTTTATCTGATTAACCATTTGCTATGCTGATGATCCTTATTTATATATAACATTAATCTTCTCTCATCCTATCCTGTCTGTCAAGTAACATAAAAACAGGCTTTTAGCACGCCAGAGGTAATATTTGATGCTAACCTCTTTTTTCTAAGTTTTTCAGTCATGTTGCTTCCAGCTTGAGTTAAACCTAAAAAAGGTTGTGCATGCTTTTGTGTGTTGTGCATCCACCATCTCCAGCTGGTACAAAGTCCTGCTATAAACTCATTAGTGAGGGCATAATCAGATAACCCCTGAGCTCGCCCCCCTTCGTTTGCTCCCTGTTAGATTTCCAGTAGATTATAAACCGTTTCCTCACTTTTTCCTCACTGTTGTTGTTGCAGCATTTCTGCAACAACAACAGTACAGTATCTACCTGATCTGTTCCCTCTTGTCTATTAACATTTGCCATTGAAGCCATGTTTGTTACTTCCAGCACAAGGGTTGTGACAGAGGCAAGATTTGGCTTTTACTATAAGAGCATCCAAATCAAATTAAGGAACTCTGAACTCTGCTTACTGAACTCCAAAAAACTTAGTCTAGCTGCTTTAAAATGTATTTTTTTATGAAAGCTGAAAGACATATGTTCTTTTCATTCTGCTTTAATTTGTTTTAATTGATCTTTTCCGTTTTATGATCTTTACACCATTTTGGCTTTTGTCTCATTCCTTATTTTATCATCCTCTTCTGGTGTTATTTATTTATTTTTAAATTAACTTTTAATATTATTTACAAGAACTTCTATAGTTGAGACATTTGTTTTCCTGTTTGAATTTGTTATATATATTTTGTGGAGTGACCAGAGCTTGATGTGAAAGTAGCCGAGTTTGTCAAACCTCTAAGCGCTCAGATTTGACATCACTCGTCGTTGTGATGAGATGTTATCAGTACTGATGGTTTCAGAGTGCAGACAACCTCTCCTTTCTCTTTGTATAATTTCCTGTTCTGTAAAGTAACTTCTTCGCCACAATGTGGTTAACTGATGTATACGATGCAGTTTGTAGGTTAACAGAGCAATAATGCACAGCGTCTCGGGGGGAAAGAATGTACTCTGACTTGAATCTTCCTTTTTTTATCCAACAAGTTAAAAATATATTTTCAATTATTTATGCATCTTATACTTAACTATTTATAATTGTGTGTGTGGCTATGTAGCTTGGGCTCTCGCTGTTTGAACCTCCTGGGCCTCCATCAGTACATTACTGACGATGACTTCACGTCTGACCTGGTGGACGAAGGCAGGGAACTCATTAAAAGAGGTACTTGTTCTTTTTTATCACTCTTCAAAGTGCAGGTATTGTTTGGATCTTTTATTGACATTGTTTAGAATTATTTGTTTCTTATTTGATTGTTGTTTTCAGTTAAGACATGTTCTTTGAAATGCTTTTTATTGATTTCTTACACCTCGGTACATGTGCTGTTGTTTTGTATTGGAAAGCAATCATTCTAATTATTGTTCACTCACTGTATTTTTCGCAAACAAAAGTGGCACATGCTTTGTCACATTTTAACTTAAATTTTTTTTTTTTTCTAGAAAGAAGAAAAAGAAATAAAGCTGAAGACGGAGAAAATCGCAGATGGGTCAGGATCTTCTTTCAATCAAATAAAAAATGTTTCTATGAAGCCAAGGAAATCTTCCCAATCCGTTGACTCTGTGTTTTCCACTGATTTTTTTTTTTAGTGTGTTGAAGTATTTACGGCCCTGTATTGTCGTCTGTTTCAGGCCCGGAGGGAGCGGTTTGGAGTCAATGGAACTTCTGGGCGGACCAGAGGGGGTTACACTGAGATCAAGGATAACCAGAGTAGCCCTGTCACACAGAACAAGAAAAATGGTATGCATGAGAGATGACTACAAATCTGAGAAGACTTTTGCAGCAGGGATGACTTGAATTTGTTTTATATTCACATTTCTAAATCTGTCAAGAGAGTAAGCACACCGGCCTGTGCAAGAAACTAAATAGCTGCCATTGTAGCTGTGAGGCGCCTCATCTGTGTAGAGGCTTTAAAGTGTGTAAGATTACTCACAACAAGCCCCTCCCATTGCCTCTTTGTGCTCTGCTCAAAAAGGATTAGTTTCTGAGTTTACGCAGTGAAAGGGACTGTGGTTATGGAAAGTTTTCATGCTCAAGTAAACATCTAGTAAAGAACGCCTTTACACAAAGAATGATCTGGATAGGTCCATTCAGTCTTACTCTTAAAGGGGACATATTATGAAAAATCCACTTCCACAGTGTTTCTGAACATATATCTGGGTAACCTGAGTGTCTACAGACCCACAAAATGTGAAATATATCCATCCTGTTCTTTGTTTGTAGTCTGCATAAGTCTTACAACACAGAGAAAAATTATCTGTTTCAAATGTGCTCTCCTTGTGACATCACAGTGGGATTCTGGTTAAAAAAAAAATCCCCTCCTCTCCCCTGGTATCTCCACCCATGGACTCCACCCCCAGACTAGAACAAAACTTTTGCGCTGGTCCGCCATTTTTATTCTCTCTACAGAGGAGTGATGTCTACGGGGAAAACTCAGAGGGGGGGGGGTCATTACATTTAAAGAGACACACACACCAAAACGGAGCATTCTGAGAGAGCTGGTTTATACAGGGTCACAGACCTCCTCTGGTGCTTGATTCATGTTATATTTTGACCAAAGCACAGCACAGATGTTTCATTTAGACCACAGGGGACTGTTTGAAAAGGTGGAAAAGTGGTATCATCTTTAAAGTCAAAAGAAAACTGTTTCCGCCTAAAACCATTGATAGAAATGAACCCATGTATTTCTTTTTATTTTTCCCTAATGTCCATCAGAACGTTTATGTGCTTTAAGATAATCCTGACATTTTTGCATTAAGGTTTATTGTATACATTACTCTCTGCTTTCCCAGTCATCACATTCACAAGACAAGATGTGGAGTCAGAGGAGCAGCAGAGACGCTTACTGCAAGACAATTCCAGTGATGAAGGTTCACCAAACAGAAGGTGTGTTCAGCAATAAATACGAGGCTGCAGAACATTTCAAACAGGCGTTCTTAATCACTCACTTTGTCTCTGTCTTCGACTCTGTAGGTCAACAGGAGGACGTTACCTGTCTGTGTCACACTCTCAAACAAGACTTTTTGATGATGTTTGACATGCAGATGACATGAGGGGAAAGCAATGAAAAAGTACATGCTGGAAATGAAAATAAAAGACTGAACATTTATTATCCCACACCTCAGGAAATAAAAGGGAACATACTGTATCTGAGACATGGACATGCAAACAGGAAACCAACTAAAAACTGAAATTACTGAAATAAAAACCCTTGGTGGAGGGTTTCATACTGTATCTCAGCTGATTTCTGAAAATGGATTATTTTCTGAGAATGTAGAGGGATTTTAATGCTCCAAAAGCCTGAACCTCGTGTGTGAAGGGCCAACCCTTTTGAAGTATAATTATAGTATTATGTTTTAATACTTGTGTTTTGCATTACCATTGTACAACAAATTGAACACTGAGTCATATTCAAAGGGAGGACATCATCAGCCAAACGTAGTTCTTGTAGTGAACGTTGTGTTTGGAATGAGTTGTTTATATAAAAAAAGGACCTATGGCTACTTAGGCCTACTTTCTAAAAAGGTTGCACAAGTTTTTTAAATGCTTGTATTTATGATACTGCATTAAAATGAAAGGATTTTACCATTTTTAAACAGAAATCTGTATTTGTTTGTGAATTAATCGAATGAACGGACCAGCACAGATTATTTGCTGCATCATAAAAATGCTTTGTTAAAAAATGATTGAAGAAAATGTCTCAAAAGTAAAGATAACCTTTGGGTTATTATAAAAGCATGAGAAGTTTAACTTTCTCAATGAACGTTATTTGAATTGTGGTATTGTGTTGTATAGTTTATTTGTTTATAATTTATTGTTATTCATGGTCAACAACCTTTAACGTGGAGGACCCGTGATGATCAGTTGGCGTTTCACAGTTTCCCGTGCTGCCTTCAATGCTGTTCATTCATTGGAAACTATACAATCCCGTTATTACTAGAATCTAATTGTTCAACATAAAGGTTATTCTTACTGAAATGTCAAACTGTTATTTCACACTTAATACATGATCTTGCAGAAGTACTTTGTATCTAAAATCTTTGGAAAAATAAATCTATATTTTATCAGTGAGACGATCGCTTACCGCAAAGCTCAACTTTTCCTACAGCACACAAAGGCATCATCTGACTGAGCCAACAGGCTGTTTGTATGTATGGGGATAATGGACACTGCCGAGCAGTAATGCGTTAATTTCTGGAAAAACACGGCAAGATTTTGAAGGAACATATCATTATATATTCTTGGGATAAACTTTGTCCAACATTGATTGATTCCCGACTCTCTAGTCTACCGGGTAAGTAGATGGCAAGCCTTAGCAAGCTAAACGTTCACCTATCGCTAATGGCAACAAGCTGCTAGCTTGTGACGCTAGCGTTAGCTTCCAACGTATTGTGTCAGCGCCGGCTGCATTTGACGAAAATATTCATAAATAGTCAAACAAATGTGCCAGCCAGTGTTGTTATTTTTGTAAAATAATTCATACTGTAACATGTTAAAGTGTGAAGGCTGTGTGGTGACTGTTGACACGAGCTGTATCGGTGCAAACGCGAAGCTGAATCCTGACCTGAATTTAGCCTGAAGGCTCTAAACATTACTCCCCTTTCTGTCTGTTTGTTAACTCTGCTGAAGGCTCTAAACATTACTCCCCTTTCTGTCTGTTTGTTAACTCTGCTGAAGGCTCTAAACATTACTCCCCTTTCTGTCTGTTTGTTAACTCTGCTGAAGGCTCTAAACATTACTCCCCTTTCTGTCTGTTTGTTAACTCTGCTGAAGGCTCTAAACATTACTCCCCTTTCTGTCTGTTTGTTAACTCTGCTGAAGGCTCTAAACATTACTCCCCTTTCTGTCTGTTTGTTAACTCTGCTGAAGGCTCTAAACATTACTCCCCTTTCTGTCTTGTTTGTTAACTCTGCTGAAGGCTCTAAACATTACTCCCCTTTCTGTCTGTTTGTTAACTCTGCTGAAGGCTTTAAACATTACTCCCCTTTCTGTCTGTTTAATGTTAACTCTGCTGAAGGCTCTAAACATTACTCCCCTTTCTGTCTGTTTGTTAACTCTGCTGAAGGCTCTAAACATTACTCCCCTTTCTGTCTGTTTGTTAACTCTGCTGAAGGCTCTAAACATTACTCCCCTTTCTGTCTGTTTGTTAACTCTGCTGAAGGCTCTAAACATTACTCCCCTTTCTGTCTTGTTTGTTAACTCTGCTGAAGGCTCTAAACATTACTCCCCTTTCTGTCTGTTTAATGTTAACTCTGCTGAAGGCTCTAAACATTACTCCCCTTTCTGTCTGTTTAATGTTAACTCTGCTGAAGGCTCTAAACATTACTCCCCTTTCTGTCTTGTTTGTTAACTCTGCTGAAGGCTCTAAACATTACTCCCCTTTCTGTCTGTTTAATGTTAACTCTGCTGAAGGCTCTAAACATTACTCCCCTTTCTGTCTGTTTAATGTTAACTCTGCTGAAGGCTCTAAACATTACTCCCCTTTCTGTCTGTTTGTTAACTCTGCTGAAGGCTCTAAACATTACTCCCCTTTCTGTCTGTTTGTTAACTCTGCTGAAGGCTCTAAACATTACTCCCCTTTCTGTCTGTTTAATGTTAACTCTGCTGAAGGCTCTAAACATTACTCCCCTTTCTGTCTGTTTGTTAACTCTGCTGAAGGCTCTAAACATTACTCCCCTTTCTGTCTGTTTGTTAACTCTGCTGAAGGCTCTAAACATTACTCCCCTTTCTGTCTGTTTGTTAACTCTGCTGAAGGCTCTAAACATTACTCCCCTTTCTGTCTGTTTAATGTTAACTCTGCTGAAGGCTCTAAACATTACTCCCCTTTCTGTCTGTTTGATGTTAACTCTGCTATCGAGATGCTTTGTCCTTACATTATTACATTTCTTAGTATTTAGTTGCAGAGTCTTTATTACCACATTTTCTTCATTATTATGCAATGCTCGTTTGTCTTGTTGGTTAACTCCCTTGAGCTGCTCTGTAATTAAACAGGGAGTCGTCGTCACCATCAATTACTAACGACCATTTCTTACTTGGTTATTGTTTGCATTTCTTTATTTTTCGGATCAACAGCAGATTCTTAAGATCTCCTTTAGTGTGATTTTTGGTGCAGGGTTTTTTTTATGCTGCCACGGCGGCTGTTTCTGTTCAAGTCAATGTGAGAGTTTATTTGTTTATTTTTATTTTATTTTATTTTATTTTTTAATTATTTTTTCTTTCTTTCTTTATTTTATTATAATAATAATTATTATTTTTCTTTATTATTATCATTGTTTTATTATTTTTTATTTGTTTATATTTGTTTATTGTTTGGTGGACAGTCCCCCTTTCCAGCTGTAGGCCCAGGCTAGTTGTCAGTATAGGTAACCTAAAATGCATTAGTTAAAAATTAAAATACAATAAATTACATTATATTTGTAAGTACAGCAGGCCTAAGCAAAAAGGAGAGAGACATACAACATGTGGCACACAATTGGAGCAAGCACAGATGGAGCCATCACAGCAGTTCATGCTATAAAGATAATCCAGGGGAGACGAGGGAAAAGAATAATCACTGAGGCCACATTGAAAGCACATACAAGACATAAGACACACTTTAGAAAGTGCTTCACAAGGACTTTATAACTCACATGTTTGAAGACATACAACACACACACACACAACAGTAACTAAAAGGAAACCGTAGAGAAAGAGAGGCATTCAAGCAATAGCTATGACAAATCAATGAGTCAAGTCTATGAGTGTGTAATGTTAGGACAGCAACATGTTCCGTGGAGGGCAGCTTTTAAAACACCTTTTAAAGGTTTGCAGAGGAGGGGGGTGCTTTTAGGGTCATGGTCTGTCACAGCTCATTCATTGCCCAGAGTGCATATTAGTTACTTGGACTGTTGTGCATTGTCACCAGCAAACATTATGATAGGGTTCTTGTGGTTCTTGGCATGGTTGAACGCTGGAGAGTGCCTTGCTAATGTGCATCCTGCAGATAAGTGATATGGAAGAAACATATCTTGCAGCTTTAAAGTGTTTGGTATAGGGTTTTCTCCATACCAGATTTAAAGACTTTGATACAAGTCTTGTAAAAATCAATCAATATAGATAGCTCTTTTGTTACCACAGCATTAAAAATACAAGCGATAGGCACCCATTATTGGGTAATTTCTTGTTTTTAATGACTAAAAAATGCAGGCAAACTCCTCTTGTGTGTCTAATTTGCACAAATTGGTTGGCAATTTCAACAGTGCTCTTTCTTTTTTTTGCACAAGTGGTACTTTTCGATTAATTAGAAGAAATATAATATTATATATTCAGTTTTTTGTAAAGCTTTGGTTCTTATCAATTCTTTTTAGAATCGCTTTGAAACGTGGTGTTGAACATTTGGACAGCCCTAGTTTGGTGTAAAGCATACTGTATAGCTTTGTGTCATGAATGTCTTTTTAAACGTTTTTCTTTCTATTTCTGCACTTCTGATGCAATTACGAAACACACTCTGATGTGTGAATCATCAAAAAACACCTTTTTTCAGTCAGTTACTGATTTTTGTTGATACCAACGACATGCTGATGGTGTGACACTAGTTTATAAAAGCAGAAGTGTCTCACTGCTTCTTGCAGACAAAGATCTTTTCTTTTTTTAATAATCAACCAAGTGCTCTGACCCTGGCTGATCTTCTTTATCTTTGTACACAGTTTGGTGACAGCTATGGGTGGGCTGGGAAATGGACGTCGTGGAGGAAGGTCACCCCCTCTGATGATCGGTGCTCTGATCGCCTGTATTTTGGTTCTGGGCTTTAACTACTGGGTGTCCAGCTCCCGCAACCTGGAACTACAGGTGGGTAACTCAGTTTGTGTCTCTTTTTCTTCCTGTGGTGTGTTGACAGTGCACATGTCATCTTTTTGTAAATGTAATGTTGTTTAAAGTGAAAGGTGTTGGTAATGATCTCTAATCTTATCATGTATCCCTCCTTGGTTAGATGTTCGGTTCTTGTAATGTCTTCTTCCTTCTTTCAACATTTATCCCAATTTATCCTAATTTTGATCCTGCTTTGTTGGTTTTAATCTGAAAAAGAAATCATAATTTTCTGCTAAAGAATTGGCCCAAAACATCTTTAGTACCTCTCTATGTCTTCTGTAGGAGCCATGTTTAGGAAGTGCAAAACGCAAATTGTTCCAGCAGGTGTCGCCTTTAAGTTAATGTGATACTCTATATAGGTAGGAACTTTCACTGGGGTGTCAGGTGTTGCTAGACGGGACAAGCTCAATTGTGTTTTCTCTGTGTGTGATGCAGACCAAGCTGTATGAGTTGGAAGGCCAGGTGCGACGAGGAGCGGCGGAGCGAGGAGTCGCAGAGCTGAAGAAGAACGAGTTCCAGGAAGAAATTCAGAGACAGAAGAAGCAGATCAGCAACATCGAAAGCCTCTACAAGAGACAGCTAGAAGGAGCCCAGAACACCTGCAGCCAGGATAAGGTAGGTAGATGGATAGATAAAAATAAACTCCCATGGAGTGCCGGGTTGACTAGTGGTTGGTACACGCGCCTCATGTGCAGAGGCTGTAGTCCTTCATGTGGGCGACCTGGGTTTGAATCATAGGCTGTAAATTTTAATG